TAGTTGAGCAAAAGCATTACATCTGCATTGTAAGAAAAAAAAGACTGCTTTTATATGCACAGAAATTACCGTTTTCATGAAATAAATTAATGCTGAGATGTTCATTATTAAGTGCTGTGTGTTGTAGGTACTACTTGGTTTAAAATTACCTTCCTTTCAATGATCTCAGTGTATGTGTGTACTCCTCTAGTATTAGAACGGTTCAGTATTTAACTTTCCTTCATATTCGATTTTTGTAAGGACAGTGTAATATACTCTACATATCTCCTATGAACACACACTGTACTCTGAAAATTGAAAATATTTATATGAAGTTTAAAACAAAGTAGTTATTTCTTTGGATGTCTAAAGCAGTTTTGGTAAAACCTTCTTTTGTAGTGAGTACTATGCCAAATAACTGCTTGTCCCAAATTATAATATCCTCAAATTTCTCTTAATCATGTAATTGATGTGAGGACATTTGTGTGGTGCATTTAGCACTATTTTTAGGCAATTTTCCCTTATTTTTTTTAATTAAACTTCAGCGCTTTCTACAATAGTCATGAATTTAGCAACCAGAGATTGAAAAATCAGATCATTGCATCAGAAAAATGTTAGTGATGCTAAAATGTCAGCCATATGGACACATTCACTTACTGCACAGAAAGTGTAATGATAATGTTCTTTCAATATTTATACTGGTTTTGGGTGGCTGTCCTGTGCATAAGTTGGTTCTAATTCACACATTTCAGAAATTCTTGCTCTTTGCATCTTCAAGGCAAAGTGACTTGCATGGCACTTGCCGATGACTGCAGAGCATGTCAACTGCTAGCCAGTAAGATTGGAGGAAAAAATTGGCTTGCATTTGAAGCATGTTTGATGAGCATGAACTATAAGTGTTGGAAAGGGCCATGGCATAGTCAACTTCACCTTGAAAAATGGAGACTGCAAAGATCCCCAAAACATCACCATGCTACGATCTGAAAGGACGTGGGTTTTGATTCTCAGTTAAGTCATTAGTTTGACCTAATCCTTCCAACCATACTATGGCCCCAGGGTTGACTCAGCCCCTAACAGAAATGACCACCAGGTATCTTCCTGGGGTAAAGGGTGGGTGGCACATAAAGCTGACAACCTCACCACCATCTCTGGCCAATTATCTAGAAAATATGGGAGCCTTGAAGTTTCCCAAATATATGGGCCTCCATGGCCTGTTGCACTGGAAGACTGGCCCAACTGTGCCTCATTTTCTGAACAATTTTTGGCTTTCTTCTCTAAGAAGACATAACAAATTAATTGCCTTGGCTGAAGCTTTTTCTTGCAAAGCATTTCTTTGTAGCAAGATATATCGTAAACACCTGTCTTCAGTTTGGTGCTGTGTTTAAAATATTGATCATTATCAGTTTTCCATTGCATTATTAATGGTATTCATAAAATCTGTCGGTACACCTGTGGCTTCACCATATAGAGTCAACCATTTTGACCCAAGTCCAAACCACTCAACCAGTTTAGAGCAGCTGGAAAAGTAAACAGTTATCCTTCTTGGTGCATGCACCCAAACTGACCGAACTGCTACTCAGTGGCCAGGAAACTAATCATTATTATTATCATGACCAAAACGTTTATGCAGTGGCATCACATCATACAGCAACTTCATTTTCCTTAAAAATTTTTTCCCAGAATAAAGAATATTGTAACAAATCATCACTATGCGGGGTAGTGTTAAATGGGGTATGACTCTACTTTTTATACTAGAAGTAAAATATCCTGATAATTTAATACATTTATCAGGTTTCTATAGAATTCTCAGTATTCCATTGAATAGAACAAAATTTCTCATGAGGATACAGTAACAGTGTAACGCAGCACATGAACTTTTATTATGTGGAGACAGCCCCTTCAATTGATTGTGGAGTGATTTCATTACAGTTTTATAAAACCAATTTGTTTATGAAGTAGCTGGTTTAGACCTCCGATTGAAACCTCATCTAGAAAGCTATGAACTCTTTGCCTGGTAGGCTCTTTCATAAAGGTCTTCAATGTATAGCACAACTTTGGGTTTTGTTTCTAGACCTCATTCTTTCACACGTTTAGATTCCTACACACGCAGTTTTATTAGTCTTTAAATTATCATCATTCCTGCATATGAGTTTAATGCTGTGTACACTTGAATATTTTTGTTTGCATTTGTTCCCTTAATTAGCTAATTTCATTGAATTGCTGTTTGTTGCCTGCTTTGTTACATAATACAGTATGGCTAACATTTGTAATGTTTTTGTGTAATGTTTGTAATCAGCACTGTTTTTCAAAAAAATATGTTTGCCAGTAATGCTTACACTAAGTTTTAGCCTCAACGGCAAAACATAACATGCATAAGCAGATGTATGAATTTTTACTTTTGTCAAGTTTGACGATATGCATTGATTTTTTGCCATTATGCATACCAGTATGCACTTGCTGGAGGAAACACTTGTAATAATTTCTTTGTTGGTAGTGTTATGCTTCAGTCTTTCTGTAGCTTTTGTTTGTTGCATTGGTTGGATGGCTCAGTGTGCTGGTTTGTATGTAGGACATGTATTTATTTCCTGCAAACATCTGTTGCATATCAGATAATATTATGCAAGTATTTATTCTGGTAAGGAAGTTGAAATATTTCAAATAAATTTTATTAGTCTATACTATTTCTCAGGCCAGAAGAATAATCTCATAATTAATATATCTTTTTATTGTGAAGGTTGGTGGAGTTTTACATGTAAATTTTAGGATTATGTTGTAAGGAAGGTCTTATTGCCCTGTTATGTGCAAAAATTGTTTTTTGTCAGCAAGATTTTTCTACTTTGTGAGATTGGAATTCTTTCTTTCTTTCTTTCCTCAGATAGACCACATATATCTCCCATGTTTGTTTTTTGTGATTTACATACCATTTGCATATTAGAATTTTAAAACTAACATTGAAATTTGTGGAAGGTAAGTTACGTTTGGTCAGTGTGAACAAAAATTAAATTTGTGTTAGAAATGTATACTCCCAAATACCTTATTTCATTGAAATTTACTGCGTACTATTAGGGATGAAACAGGAAGGTGGACAGACAGATTGACTAACAGATATGACCTCCATATTATATGTTCATTTTATACACTTCTTGCAAAGGATATGCAGAGTACTGTGATCATAAGTATTTTAACTATAAAAGAACATACAAAATTTCATCTAAGATATCACCTGCCTGATTTAGGCAACATAGATATGCATAGATATTTGTAGCAATTGCCTGTGGTAGCGACACATTTTTCGAGTGGCTAGTGTGTAGGTGAGTGGATCCTGAGGGTGCTGGTGACCAGCAATGCACATAAATGGTAGGTCAAACTGTGTAAATATGTGGTGATGCATTTTGTATTCGTGAAGGATATTACATATTTGTCTTTATGGTTTGTTTTTAGTCAGCTTTATTGTATATCATACTTGTATATAAAGATACCCCCAACCTTTCATCTTTGTGGTCAATTTAAAATATAATTGTCATTGTTATATATATATATATATATAATCTCCTCTGCTCTTTATTTTGTATCCTGGATAAAATACAGACTGATTTGCAGTTAAAAGATAAAGTTGTCCCTGTGCTTAACTAATCAAGTACTATGCCATGAATATGTATGGGGGAGTGGATGCATAGATCCAGTTTTTCTTGATCTTGGCACTAGCTTGAGGTGAGTGGTCGGCTTCACTCCCCAGCCTCTTTACTCCTGGGGAAAGGACAGTACCCATTGGATAGAAGGCTGGGTGGGCTCCAGAGCTGGTCTGGATGCTGCGGAGAAAAGAAAATTCTTGGCCCTACTGGGACTCAAACTCTGACCATTTGGTCATCCAGCCTGTAGCCAGTTGCTGTACCAACTGCAATATCCTGGCTCCGTGATTTGTGGTTAGAAAGATGAAAATAGTAATTTATAGATGAAGGAAGATACTTCTCAAGATTAAATTATTTGTTTTATTAATAATGGCTCAAGAAACACACATATAATGTTAATTTCATATTATAAATTTACATATTCACATCAGTGTACATTGTATGTAATGTGTCATGAACCTAAAACTTAGCACAGTTACCTTAATGGCAGAGAACTTTCTATGAATTTTGTAATTCCAGTCAGAAAATTAAGTATACTGATTGGATTTTAATGTGATTTTTGCTTATTCATTCTTGAAAGTGTCAGAATGATGCTTCAAAATAGATTGTAAGGATTTTGGGTATATCTTTTTCAAAAAGCCGTTAGTACTAAGTTTGTCATTTGTATTCATTTTTCCTGAACATCTATAGTTGGTATGTACATCAAATGAACCAAAAAAAAAAAAAAAAAGCGTACCCAGAAATTAAAACAAAGGTTGGGGGGTCTCTGTATCATTGGTATCCAAATTATTCCTGCCAGTACATCATCATGGGCATGTATCTCCTACATTTTTTCTTCCTTTAGAGTGACCTAGCTAGACTCTAGTGAATTCTTAAAAATAATGTGGCATTACCAGGAGTTTTTATTAATATTAGTAAATCATTGGTGTTTATAGAGGATAGCATTTCTGCCACATACTAAGGAGCTTCAAGGTTTTATTAGGCAGTGAAAGATTTCTAATGAAAGTATCTTACATGCCTGTAAGATCTGTAAAGTGTATGATGAGGCTGTTAGCTATGTGGCAGCTGGTGTTAGAGTTTATTCTCTCCGAAGAAGGAAGTTCAACGCACACATTAAGCGTAAGATTATAGCATTCTGATCAGTTGTGCCTATTGGTCACAGTAGTCTCTTGACATTAGGAAGCCCACGTGGGTGCGATGGTAACAGAGTCATTTTACTGTGTTATTCTAATGCTAATACTGGTTACCTATGTTCACAGGTGAGGCTGGACGTGAGAAAGAGGATTCATGTAAGTTTGCTTCTACAGTACATTTCTATATACTGTTGCTGTGCAGCATTACATAATGAATTTCTTCTGAGTAGTATGGTTAGGATGATTTGCTATGTGATTTGAATTCCGTGTGTTCTTATGCTGTCAGATTAAATACCCCTGGTACTCATTACATTAGGGAAGAACATAGATTTCAGTGGTATTTGTGGACAGTTTGCTGAGGACATCAGGATCTAAGAGGAAAGAAGAAAGAGGAAAATGGACAAAATTGCGTGATGAGGAACTTTATAACCAAATGTTATTTTTGATGATCAAAGTAAGGAGAATAAATTGGGTTGGACATGTAATGTACATGAACAAAACCAAAAATGTATAAAAATTATAGTCACAAAATCTGAAGTGTAGAAGTCACTTGGAAGACATAGTTATAGATGGAATTCTAATATTAAAATTGATCTTAAATGGGATGTGAGGATGTGAACTGGATACAACTGACTGAGGACAGGGACCAGTTGTGGGCTCTTGTGAACATGGTGATGAACCTCCAGGTTCCTTCTTGATTAGCTGACTGTCTGTTAGCTTTTGAAGAAGAATTGTGCTCAGTCAAGTTAGTTATGTGCTTAGTGCATTAAACATGGCAGAAGCAATATAATTTTAGTGTAGTCTGTTGTGTTAAGTGTGGTGAAAGGCTAAATTAAGAAGAATGAAATTGCAAGAACATGTTGCATATATGGGGAAATCAGAAATTCTTACAGAATTTCAGCTGGAACATCTAAAGTGAAGCTGACAGGTCATATCAATCTAGTGTTGAGGTTAAGAATCCCTCCTGTACCTCTCCATAGCATGGTGCTAATTAAGCACAAAGATAGCTTCACCATTACCTTTACTTAGTGTCTCCTTTATTGAATTTTACTAACACTTCTGTAAATTAAGTTTTTATTGCCATATAATTGTCATTACTGTATAAAATTTCAACATTGATTCGCTTCCTTCCTCTGTTATTTTATTATTATCATATCAGTTATAAAGCTGGGTTATTTAAGTGTTTTATAAAGGAACATCAGATAGTGTCACAGTCTTCTGAGAAGTGATGTCTTGTCATTTGGTAGATAAGCACCAGTGGTTCAGATTAACATGCTGCCTACATTCTGTGCTAAATACAGGAGTAGCAGGTTCTTCCGAAACATTGGTACCTATTCAAATAATTAAAATGTGAAACTTATCACCAATTAACTGCTAATCACATCTCATGCAATTCTCATAGTTCTCATAATAATCACAATACACATGCACATTATAATGATATATGTTCTGCTGACAGTGATGCGCAATCACCAGGGTATGCCTACAGCAATGGTGAACTCAATGAGCAGTAGCAAACAGGTGAACAAGGTGAAACCAACAGTGAATCGCTCAACACCTGACAATATGGCTGTCTCTCCCAGTCAACAGCCAGGAGGAGGCGGAGGCTACAACAGGTAAGCAATACATCTGTATCTGTTGGTCATATCTCTTGCCCTGCATATGTATGTATGTATGTGTGTGCGTGCGTGCTGATGGTGTTTGTGTTCATTGTAATGGCTCCTGGCCAGACCGATGCATTTCATGCAATAATCTGCACCATAGTACAAGTTACAAAACTGAGTGATCTATAAATATTTAATGTGTTTCACTTTATTTGGCTCTAGTATTGGATACCTCTGATATCAGAATAGAATCGATCTAGAATAGTTCAGTCAGTACAGCAAGTGGCTATGACCTGGACAGCTTAGGAAATGAGGTTCAGTTCATGGCAGAGGCGGCAGATTTTTCTCTTGTCTGTAGTATTCTGACTGACTCTGAGGACTACCTGGCTTCTGTCCAGTGAGAACCAAGGTTCTTTTCCTGAGGTTAATGTAGCCAGGGCATGAAGCTGACCACTTGGCTTAATCAAGTGGAAAGGTTAAGAAAGCATGGAACTATACCTCCAATCTGCCCTGTGTTATCATGACATCATGACATTGTACTTAATTAAGGACCAGGACAACCTAATCAAACTTCACACAATCTTAAATTTAGACAACCAGGACTTCAGGACATGTCAGTTTAAGAGTCCATAGACACAAAAACAGAAAGAATGCTAGACTAGTGTTTCTTCATCTTTACATGTCGAATTTTAATTGATATCGGTAAATGCTGGTGGAACCCAATACCTGAAACTTAAAGTCACAGATTTAAAAAGGGTGAGAAGATAATTGGGTGGTTCTTGCATAGCACAAAAAAGAGACACAATAGAAGATAAATATTGTGATCTTCTGGGTTATGATACTTGTGTAGTATGCTAGGTTGGTAGCAGCATTTCAGAGGTATGTACTGCATTTATGTTCTACCCAGAAAATGGAAGCAATATGTTTCTCCAAAATGTTGGCACCTGCTTGTGCAGTTACACAGTATCATAAACCAGAAGGCAAGAATATGAATAATTACTGCCATGAGAACCTTAAATATTACAGAACAGAAAGTAAAGTAATACCCTAAGAGGAATGTTTATATTTCTTTTACTGAAAATTCTCCATCCGCCATTTACAAAATGGCTGAAGAAAGAAATGTGTACAAAATATTTGTTTATGTAATGCAATTTGGTAGATCTATTTTAACATGAACTGAATTGAGTTAATTCAAAATAAAGTCACGTGGCACATTTTCATGCTAGTAGTTTTTGACCTTCATTTGTCAAAGAATTATGTATGTAGTGAAGTGGAGCAGTTATAATTTTGATGATGTCCCCACAAGTGTAGACTTGATTTGTGGTGGCATAAATACAGTGTAGGGGTATAATTATGACAGTATAATTTGAATCTAATTTGAGGGTATTTATTTTCTTGACCCTGATTCATTATTCATCTCTGAATTTGTGCTTGTCGGAGCAGACCAATGTTATGTTCTGAGTGCACAAATCATTAAGTAAGACCAGCCCATGGCTTTTGTTCAGGTGGATCGGTAATGTTGTGTTGTCAAGTACTGGCATGACGTTTCTAATGTTTACCTTCATTGATGTCAGTTCTCTGTAATGTATTGAAGCTTCTTGCACTTATTACAATTAACAGGTGCATAAAGTTGAGGTGTGCAGTTTATCACAACAATTGAATGTAGAATATATAGCTACAGTAGTGATATTTAATCTAACATAATATTGTAAATAATTCTAATTTATTGTCTCTAATATAAGACGGGGTTTCTCAGAATATAATCTTTAATGGAAATATATTCTTCAGGATCCATTATTTCTGGATTGGTTAAAATAATGTCATGTAAAGATATTCCCTTAATATTTTATTTATTTAAACATACATGAAATGGTACACATTTGTTGCAGATCAGATTTAGAAAAGTGACTATTGTATTATTAAACTTTAGTCTATATATTGAATACTAATTTGAAATGCCGGTAAAATATATAATGTAATTTTATTTTTAAAATACTTGTGTATTAACTGTTCCAGCATTTTCTTAGTGTTTTCTTTGTCTAGAGAAAATGTGGGAGCCACAGTGTATCACAACCCTATGGGTCTTCTCATCCTGTTACATGGATAGCTTTACCTTTTTTACCTTTCAGAAAAGACCAGTGTGCTAACAGTCTGGTCAGTTATATTGAGGATATTAATGGAGTTACTTTAATTTATACTATTAGTGCAAAAGCACATTGAAATTCAGTAGGTAATTATTTCTTTCCCATCTTCTTCCCTCAGCCCATTTATTCATTTCCTTTATCACTTGAATACCCTTATCTTGATTCTTAATATCTCCATTGAAACAGTGAAATAAATTATATCTCTATCCAATAGATGGAACACTTTAGAATATAAAGCTGTCACCTGCTAAGTGCATGAAAAGTACCACAGTGAGGCAATGACATAACATACATATATATGTACATAGAGGACATACATACCTAGTCATATACCATGTCTTGTTTTATATGTACGTGGTGCACTCCAAAAGTTCCAGAAATATATTAATAAAAACTATTACACCTTACCTGGATCTTATTCTGCACCATCACCTTCAAAGTAGTCCCCTTGGAAGCGCATACACTGATTCGCAGCGTTTCTGCCACTTCTGAAATGCATCCTGGAAGTCTTTCTTTGTTAGGGTGTTTAGTACCTTCTGTGTTTCCACTTGAATTTCCTCAGCTGGATCAAATCTTCACCCCTTCAACTTGATTTTGATCTTGGGGAAGAGAAAGAAGTCACATGGAGCTAAGTCTGGTGAGTACGGTGGGTGGGGAACAACTGCCATCTTGTTTTTAGCCAAAAATTGCAGCACCATGTAAGCCATATGCGGTCGTGCATTGTCATGGTGGAGTACCCACTCATTCGTGCACCACTTCTCTGGACGTTTTCTCCTCATGTCCTCCCTCAAATGCCTTAGAACATCGCGATATAACTCTTTATTGACTGTCTGACCAGGAGGCTCAAACTCCTTATGAACAATCCTGTCAGTATCAAAAGACAGATGAACATGGGCTTAATGTTGGTCTTGACTTGTCAATCTTTTTTTGGCCAAGGTGAAGAAGGGTTCTTCCATTGTGACAATTGCTGCTTACTTTCGAGGGTCGTAGCCATAAACCCAACTTTCGCCACCAGTGACAACCTTTGAAAGAAATTTGGATCCTCTTGAAGCTGTTGTTGAAGTTCCCTGCAGACTTCCAAGTGATGCTGCTTCTGTTCATTTTGCAGCAGTCGTGGCACAAACTTCTCCACAATCCTCCTCAAGTCCAGTTCCTCTGACAAAATTCGTTCATATGTACCATAACTTAGTCCCAAGGTGTTACAGAGGTCTTGGATGGTCAGTCTACGATCTTGCAGAATCAGATCCCTAACTTTCCCGATATTTTCTGGTGTGGTGCCAGTTGATGGCCATCCAAAACAATCGTCATCATCAGTCGTTCGGCCATTTTTGAAATGCTTACACCAGTCGTAAGTTTGTGTATGGGCTAAACCGTTGTCACCAAATGCTTGCTTCAATATTTGGTGTGTTTCTGCAGCGGTTTTCCCAAGTTTAAAAGAAAACTTTATACATACACACTGCTCTCTCAGGTCAGCCATCGCAAAATCACAAACTCANTTAACTTTGTTTCTATTTTAATATGTTAATATGTTCACATAGGCCATCTTTGATACACAAAATCTGGATTTTATTTCAGTAGACCTTGTCTTGGAAAGAGGTTGGTCTAAAAGTAAAGACAGAGAAAACTAAGTATATGTTACTGTCTCGTCACCAAAATGAGCAAAATCATGACATAAAGATAGGAAACAGATGTTTTGAAAATGTGGCACAGTTCAGATATTTGGGAACAACGATAACAGATTGAAACCTAATTCAGGAGGAAATTAAGAGGAGATTGAGCTCGGGTAATGCTTGCTACCATTCAGTCCAGAACCGTTTGTCTTCTTGTCTGTTGTTCAAAAACATAAAAATTAGAATATAGAAAACTATAATTTTGCCTGTGGTTCTGTATGGGTGTGAAACTCGGTCTCTGACATTGAGGGAGGAACATAGACTGAGGGTGTTTGAGAACAGGGTGTTGAGGAGAATATTTGGATGGAAGAAGGATGAAGTGACAGGAGGTTGGAGAAAACTGCATAATGAGGAGCTTCATAACTTGTACTCTTCGCCAAGTATAATTAGAGGGATCAAGTCAAGGAGGATGTGGTGGGCAGGGCAGGTAGCAAGAATGGGAGAGAAGAGGAATGCATATAGGATATTGGTGGGAAAGCCAGAAAGAAAGAGACCACGGGGAAGACCAAGACGTAGGTGGGTGGACATTATATTAAAATGGATCGTAAGAGAGAGAGGATGGGATACTATGGATTGGATTGATCTGGTTCACAACAGGGACCAGTGGAGGGCTCTTGTGAACACGGTAATGAACCTTTGGGTTCCATAAAATGCTGGGATTTTCTTGAGTAGCTGCAGAATTGGCGGCTCCTCAAGAAGGGCTCAGCTCCATGAATAAGTAAGTAAGTAAGTAAGTAAGTAAGACCTTGTCTTGGAGGGAATCTGAGAATCTTTCTCTCTAGCTTCATCATTTTTGCTTATGGAGCTGATAACCGACTTGGTTGGATCACATGTTTAAATATATAACAATATCTTTTTACTTGTCATCTGTCCGTTACCAAAATGTAATTATTGCTAATAGTAATTTTGTTAGTAAATTTAGATAAATACTGAGATTATAAAAAGGGATGGGTAGGTCCTTCAGTTTTATTGTTTCTGATGCTACTGTTTGTTCTAACCTATTAGCTGCTTATTCTCTCACCTCTGTTTTCAAAGCACCAATCACATTTCAAGCACTAACATACTGGTACATTTACTTACCTCTTTTGCTTTTATTGTATGTTTTAAGAGTGATAAATATTGTTTACTTTCGTAAAGCTTCAAGATACATGTTTTATAAAAAGAGTGTACTATATAACATTAATATGCTTTCTTGAGTGCCAGATTTAAATAGATGGCACATTGATTTATTGTGCCCTCACAAATGCCACCACTGTGAAGAATACTGTCTGTTAGCTGTATTTTAATGATATCTCAATACCAGATTCTGGACACATTCTTAATTATAATTAATAATTAATTAATTAATAATTAATTTTTCCTGACTCAAGATATGTCCTGTGGAGGTAGTTCTGTGACTTGTTACTTTATCCATATTTGTGCTCAGATGATACCTTACATTGGACTGTGACCTTTGGTTCCTAAGACTGAAACAATTTATGTGCACTGTGTGAATCCATATATTCTCTAAATTCCTTCACTCCACAGGGAAAATGAAGGCTGGGATTATCAGACAGGTATATAACAGAAGGCATGTACCAAATACAGATAACGTATACAATTTCTTTTGCACTTCAAGGATAAAGCTCTTCCATATTTCTGAAGCCTTCCACCAGCAATGATGGAGTCCGGGTAGCTCAGCTGGTATAACTACAGGCTACCAACTGGAAGACCAGGGTTCGATTCCCGGCAGTGCAAGATTTTTCTCTTCTCCACAGCGTCCAGGCTGACTGTGGGCCAGCCTCCTGTCCAATGGGTATTGGGGGCTCTTTCCCTGGGGGTAAAGTGACAGGGGTGTGAAGCTAACCACTTACCTGCATCTGGTGCCAAGGTCAAGAAAGGTGGAGTTATATCTTCACTCCCCCATATGTCTCAATGGCATAGTGCTTAACTAATTAAGCACAGGGACAACTGTATCTTTTTTTTACCTTTTCTCCATCAGCAATGCATATATATGTATTTTGTGCCTTCAAACACAGTCTTGAACATTTTATTGCTTATGCTTGTAACAAAAATGCTAATAAGAGAAATGTAGATGTTTTGTTCCAAAAGGTCACATCATAGCTGGATTGTTCAAAGGAATATGTTCTCTTCATATTTTCCGGGCGCACACTGTGCAATTAAGTTGCTGAGAAAAGTATTTTTTTTTTCAGATTGGTATATATATATATATATAAATGTTAACTGTTTTGACACAGATGGGATTGTTAGTGAATTGGATTTTGTTGAAGTTTTATAATATGCAATGTGGTTTTGTTATTTGGGCAGTTGGATCAGTAACAAGGACTGAACATGGTCTACTTCTCCATAACCATTCAAGACCTAAACATAATTTACATGTCTTTGAACTGTGACTTATACATACTTATAATAACAAATGTTTTTGGTTCTGTCTTACAGGCTGTCATTTCATAACAATCAGTTTTGGTTCATTTTTATCAGAATGTTACTAAGAAATTCGAAAAGGTCCAAGAGAGCTCTTTTACATGAATTTCCAGTGGTTAACTATGAAATAAATTAGCACTGCAGGGCCATTTGAAATTGACAGTGAGTGATGATTCAGCACTAAAATATTAATAGAAATTAATTCCAGTAATCTTACTGGTAACAAACAATGCTATGATGTCACATAGAGTCACATATATTGTTCAAACAGAATTTGATTAAATTAGAGGGAGGAATAAAAAGTTCTTCAAACCCCTGGATTGGTTTTAATATTTATAGATACTGTGCCTAGCTGCAGGCTCATGTGAACACAATTATGAATCGTAGAGGCCTGTAAGGAATTTCTTGACCAGTGCACAAGTTTCTCAAGAAGGACTTATGCTCCCTGAATCCAGTTTATTAGCTATTAAAAGTGAGGACTGAGTGTTGCAGTCAAATGATTGATATTTCTTTACATTTGTGAGCTCTTGGGTTTGGATATCAGTCTGGAGGCCAGCTATCCTGACAGAAGTTTTCTTTGTGACTTTCCTCAGTACCTACCCACAGATGCTAAGATATTGCCTCAAATTAGGCCATGCCCACTTCCTGCAACTTTCTTTCCAATTACATATTCACAGATCATTCTTCCAGTCAGTGGTTATACTCTGACCTGTTTGAAAGCATCATTAAATAAACCATGAATATAAATATTGAGTTTTTGGACATCATACATTGTCCCGTTTTTAATTGAAAACCAGGACAATGAATAATGTCCAAAAACTCAATAATTGTATTATTAACATATCATCATCACAAATTCTTAGATCTTAAACCATGAATAAATAAATTAAATATAAAAGAAGAAAATTTATTAAATGTAATAGCTTTGTCTGTGTAATCACACTCAATTTTGTTTGCAGTAAGTTAACTCTGGAATACTTTCATGTTCTTCCTCTACTTGACTTAACAGGAACATTGTGGTGTTTACAGGGTTACACATGTACACTGAAACTTAGGAGACTTCATGCACCTTTCCTTTCTGTGTTTTGGGAGCACCTTAGGTTTGCATCTACTATGATGAGAGAAAATTAAAATTTTATGACAAAATGACTGATTAATCAGATAATGTTTGGACTAATACTGTTTACTGAATAAATAGTGAGCAGGGATATTCACTTCGTGGGGGGTGGAGTCCAACTGGGTCCACTCGGCATGGCAGCCACTGATTGGCCTATTGTAGCCTGCCCCGGGTGATTATGATGATGGAGAATTTGGTGGAATGAAGATTGTCAGGGGAAACCGAAATACTCAGAGAAAACCTGCCCTAGCACCTCTTTGTCCACCACAAATCCCACTTGGCCAGACCCGGGATCGAAACTGGGCCACCATGGCGGGAAGTCAGCAACTAACCGCTTGAGCTATGGCACGGCCTTTTGAGTAGGGATATGGTCTAGGCAATGACACTTGTTCTCTGTGCAGTGTGGACTTTTCTGCAAGTCTTCTCCTTCCCTCACAAAGTCAAATTCTTTGGATATGGAGAATATCAAGGCCCCCCCCCCCATCATAGTGGCTATACCCCATGTTTGGCTCCTCTGGCAGCAATCGCAGTCATCTTCACTATTGTCCTATATAATGGGAGCAAAATGGAAATACCACTGATAAGTTGCTTCCATCTCAAATTGTCTTTTCATTCCTTATGTTAGCCAAGTGGACAGAAGACATGAACAAAATTAGTGAGCTCACAGTCAGATGGGTCATGCTGGGACTTCTGTGATGTGTGTTAGAAGTGTAATTATTGGATGGAATAATGTATCCACTTGTAGAAAACTTCTGCAAGGATTCAAATGAGTGATTAATACAATACAGTATACTACTGATTATCTGTGCTAATGAAAGGTAAAAAGCACATGAATAATAAAAAATACAGATAATCCAACTTTAGCGTGTGAGTGGGAAACCATGATGATTTTTGTTTATAGAAATTCAGTAATGTATGCATAATATCAGACTTATTGGGGCAAGTGTATTGAACATAGCATGTTTCATTTTTCTGTACAGAATTTTTTTAAATACTTTTTTGTTCAGTAAATATTTAGTGAATTACGCTCATGATATGTCCAGAAATGCAATAGGTCTTTATGTAAAAGTGGTCATTAAAACTGTTTGAACCAAAAGTAAATTGAAATGACTTGATCATTCTTTATAAATTTTTTAACATACTCATAAAATTTAATGAAAATCTGTCCTGCAGTTTTCAAGTAGTTGCATGTGCATATACTTACAGACAAACAGGCAAACATAATAAGCAATGTGCAGGGCTATGAGTTCTATTAAAAATGGCAGCTGGATAGGATGTGACTCAGATAATTCATGCACAGATAGTCAGTAATATACTGTACATACAAATTCAGATTTACTAAATTTTGTTCTTAGAGAATTCAGAAAGGAAACAAACGGTTTTGTTTAATCATATTGGTACTATGTGTTGTTATTAAATGAAACATGGAACCAATGAGAAATGATATTGCTGACTTGAGTTGCAGTCCATACCATTATTTGACTATTCAAGGTCTGAAATTTATTGTATTATGAAGTGAATACAATTACTGCAGGTATTTTTACACATGTCAAATCATAAGATAAATGAGGAAAGATACAGACAAAGGAAAACTGTGGCAATAGTGAATGTTTAATGTGATTACAGGCCTCAAGAGGATTCCACATATGCTGGTTATCACCTTGCCTATGAAGTCAAAAAACTCATGTATGCTTTCCATACAAGCTCTCTCTATTCATTAACAAACTTCTTTTAGTAATCTGTTAGTTGAAAATTTTCTCTCTTTCTCTCTGTAGCATTATCTGTGTGTGTCTATCACTGTCACCTTTTTGTCTATTATCTGTCTGTTGTAGTAGTGATAGACCTTCTGCTAGCTTGCTTACTGATGTGCAGGTGGTCTGTGTTGGCTGTTGAAGTAGATGAACTAGAATGTGCATGTAAATATATATATTATATATATGGTTGGTTATGATTGTTATTTATGTCTGTGTGGCTGTATGATGTAAGGAAAGCTGATTCCAATCTTGAAAATATTAAAATGTTGAGCTTTCTTGACTTTGTGGGGTAGAAATAGCGTGATATGTGGGATGTTCCCACAACTTAATGACATCTTTTGTAGAAAATATGACATTATGTAGTGTCTGCAAAGTGCAGACATGTAATAAAAAATATAGTGGCCAAGTCAGTATGGGTAGAATCATAAAAATTGTCTGTTCTAAGGAAAGTATTATTTCATTCTTTGATAGGTTAGGTTTTTAATACTGAAACTAATTTAGAGTCAACTGTTTTACAGGTATCTTGATGTTTCTTAAAGACATGACACTTATGGAGTAGTAATACTTTCTTATAAGAGTTTCTAGGGTAACAGTATTTTTTTATTTTTTTTTTATTCCTAGTGGGGCGGGACTAAGTCCCTTGCACTGTGGCCACTTCTGGCCTATTGTACCAGCCCAAGATGATAGGTGAGGGTGATTGTGGAGCAATTGGTGGAATGAAGATTGGCAGGGGAAACCGAAGTACTCAGAGAAAACCTGCCCCAGTGCCACTTTGTCCACCACAAATCCCACTTGACCAGACCCAGGATCAAACACGGGCTGCCGCGGTGGGAAGCCAACAACTAACCGCTTGAGCTATGGCGCGGCCCTAGGGTAACAGTAACAAATTCAATTAATTTTCCTTTAAAATGTGAACTTTTATTCACTTAATAAATATTTTATGCTTCTATTATGTTCAAATATAAAGTCATCATACAGACAAAGTAAATATATTCAAAAACTTGTCAGCTGAATGTCATTTAAATATACTATCTTTTAGAAGAATGTGATAGGCCAAGGGCACAAGAAGTACGTGTTCAGTAATAAATCAGTATTTTCATACATATAGTTCACTTGCGGACTACAGACAGTGGAGTTTTTTGTTTGTTTTGTATGTTATCTCAGTCGTAAGTTTCTTTGTACATTAAGGCCATGATGCAAGTGATTTCTCAAGCTCTTCAGCTTGTAAGTGCATATGAAATTTATTTGTCAAACTGCCAAGAAAACAGTCTCATAAATATTTCAGAAGTAAGTGCTGTAGGAGAATTGTCTCTAGAATTATTGCAGAAGCCTGGAACAAATAGTCTTGTGGGACTCTTTGAACTTTTGTATAATAATTAAAAAGTTAATGTATTTAAAAATCTTACCTATAAATTTGCACACACATACATTTATAACCACATTTATATTATGCTAATGTATGGACAAGATAGTAGCTGAAAGATATGCTGAAATGCAGAAGTTAGTAGAGTGTTGATCACACAATTTGGATAGTAACTGTAATATCTGAAGTCTTTAATCTGTGAAACATATTTATTGTCCTCCAGTTTGGTCTTGCAATAGTATACCGACTTTCACGCATCATTGGAAGAGCATTAGAATCTCAGGTGTCTCTACAGGATAGTGCCTGATGAATGTTGATGAGTTAAAGTATATTTTCATAAATCAGTACATGTTCACAGAAAGATAAAAAAATATGTGATCTGACAATAAAGTTCGTGAACTCGTTGTGGTATTGCTGAATATCACTTTGGTCGTCTTGAAAGTACTCACCTTGGAAAGCTATGCACTGATGCCAGCGCCTAGTCCACCCTTCAAAACAATTTTATAACTGGTTTTGTGGAATGGCCTTCAGAGCTACCATCGTATTACCCCTGATTTAATCAGTGTCATCAAAATACCTCCTTTCAACATTTCCTTTATCTTCGTGAACAGAAAAAAAGTCATTGGGAGCTAGATCCAGTGAATAGGGAGGGTGTCTCAGCACAGTTATTTGCTTACTAGCTAAAAACCCTCACAGACAGTACTCTTCAGTGAGCTTCTTTGGGACCACTTTTGCACACACTTCCTCATGTCAAGATCTTCAGTTAAGATTTTCCTAACTGTTTCTCTGTCAATGTTTGCTTGCTCTGCTATGCTCCTGACAGTCAGCCATTGATTTTTAGGCACAATTTGAGAACTTTTGCAATGTTTTCTTCAGTTCTGCTCGTTGGTGGCCATCCTGATCTCTCTTTGTCAGTGACACTTTCTCTTCCCTTTGAAAACCATGTCACCCGCTTGTAAACAGCCGTTTCCTTCATAGCATTATCCCTGTAAACTTGCACTAACATTACTCTGATTTTGCACCCTTGCCTAGTTTAACAAGAAATTTATTGTTGGCTCATGACATTCTTGTGGATGGCACACCAAAACACACTCAGACAGTAATAGACGCCACTCAGAAAGAGCCTGCCATAAATCATCATCATCATCAACAACAACAACAACAACAACAACAACAACAACACAACTGTGAAACACAAATATGCCAACTTCATCAAGCCATATTGAGGTTTCTGTCCACTGCTGCCACAGTAAGCTTACAGAGGAGAGAACTTTATTGTCAGACTACGTATGTATTTTCGGTGTTAGACAAAGAGTATTAAACTTCAGTATTATAAAATATATAATTTACATTCTGGTAAAGGAGTGTGAGAAGAATATTATTTAATTTTAATTCTATCCTATGTTTTTATTTGTGAAGTAGAAAGTAATATGTATGTGTTACATAGGTATGTCATCAGAATAATTTATGGTAAATCCTTACCATCTTTTAACCTTCACTTCTAGCATGGCTGTTACTGTACAGTGTGATTACTTTTTGGCATTCAGAAGTGTACTCCAAGGCAGAATAGGGGTGATTGCTCCATATTCGAATATGGAATTAAAGTTGTTGGTAATTTAACTTTGAATTTCAGTGTAAGAGATTGCTTAGAGTCTTTGGCTTCATTGTGAACATATATTTAGCTGAGATTAAATATAAAATTACCTAGTTAGTTGCTTGGGTGCGTGTTCAATAACTGAAGAACTTAATTTTAACCACTTTATGCATTATGACTTAAAAGTGACCTTCCCCCTACATCATGGAGTTAGAATGTTCAATTTAGTGGAAACTTGTTACTCAAAGAGGAGAGAAAATAATGTTTGTATATCAAAAGCTTTTTTTTTTAATTGCTAGTGGGGTGGGACAAAGTCCCTTGTACTGCGGCCACTTCTGGCCTATTGTACCAGCCCCAGATGGTAGGTGAGGGTGATTGTGAAGCAATTAGTGGAATGAAGATTGGCAGTGGAAACCGAAGTATTCGGAGAAAACCTGCTCCAGCGTCACTTTATCCACCACAAATCCCACTTGACCAGACCCGGGATCGAACCCGGGGCGCCACAGTGGGAAGCCAGTGACTAACCGCTTGAGCTATGGCGCAGCCCATATCACAAGTTTAATAGAAATTGATAATTACTATCAATGCATTGGTACAGCACTTATCTCATAATTATTTGATTATAAATCAAAATCAGTTGCCCATTTTCTATGTAATGAATCAGTAAAGTTTTACAGCCATTTTATGAATTCTGTTTAAAATAATTTTCATTTTGTTATACATGCAATTTCATTTCATTTATAAAACGCATTATTGTTCATATAAAAGTGCATAATACAAGTATAATTGGTACTACAGTGTATGGTAGACCAGCAATGTGACCATCGTGGTGTCCACATGTTAGGGGCAATAAATAGAAAGAGATGTCACCACATAATAGATATAACATCCACTTTCTAGAATGAATAGGATATTCTTAATTAAGAGGTGATTGAACTCGGGTAATGCTTGCTACCATTCAGTCCAGAACCTTTTGTCTTCTTGTCTGTTGTCCAAAAACATAAAAATTAGAATATACAAAACTATAATTTTGCCTGTGGTTCTGTATGGGTGTGAAACTTGGTCTCTGACATTAAGGGAGGAACATAGACTGAGGGTGTTGAGGAGAATATTTGGGCCGAAGAGGGATGAAGTGACAGGAGGTTGGAGAAAACTGTATAATGAGGAGCTTCATAATTTGTACTCTTCTCCAAGTATAATTAGAATGATCAAGTCAAGGAGGATGAGGTGGGCAGGTCATGTAGCACGAATGGTGGAGACGAGGAATAGAAAACTATGCTAGTTGTGCCTGATTACAAACATGGGTAAGTTTTAGTGTTTAAATGTTAGTAACATTAACCATATATAGAACACTGTTAAGATCTGTCTTTAAGTAACACTGGTGTAGGACATACAAGAAATGCAAAGATTTCAAAACAGATGTTTGAAAATTTTAACAAAATTACCTTTACTCATAGAAAAAAAACATTACCTACAGCCCTCAAAATAAATTCTGAAATATGTGGAACACATGGCTTGGAGAATGTGTGTGCAATTCTTAGATAATTGGAACCTGGTTTTGAGATAACTAGGACAGTGTGGTTAAAAAACTTAAACTCCTTTGCACATAGGCAGACCCTGGAGAAGACCAGTAAATAATTTCCTTCCCTTACTCCTTGAGAGTCCTTGAAGAATCTGCTGTCAACAATGGCAGAGCTCAAGGAAAATGACTACGGAAATAATTATTTATAATAGATTAGTACAATATATTGTTCGCCATTTTAGTTTCTTTGGTTAATGAACTTGCTAGAGATCTAGCCTACATTTATTTCTAAACAACAAATCTTGATAGGCATCTATCGATCTCAGTTTCCTGCCTTGTAATGCCATTATTTTGAAACAGTGACATAAATATTAATGATTTGTGATAACAAATTATGTTTCTGCTCCTGAGTATCTACTCAGATCACAGTTACTATGTAAGTGAAACACTGAA